TAAAGTTGTAGTTTATTAAAAGTAAAGCAGCCTCCTTGGCATAGTTTCGATGATTTGTTTGCCGAAAAATAACCATTAGATATTTCCAAATAAGAATAACTCTTTCCCCGTCCCCCTCTTTAATGGCATCATAAAAGTTAGACCACAGTAATCCAAGAGTTATTACTTCCATGCCATAGGAATACACCAAATCATCATTTGTATTACCTAAAATGGAGCAATTACAATAAGTAATGCATTACTTAGCTGTTTGAGTTTAACCTACCAGGAGTTTGGGGTTCCAGTTGCACATATTTAGTCACAATCTTATCAGCTACTTCTTCCAATGTCAATCCATTACTGTACTCTTTCTCTGCTGCCAAAATAACATGTGCCACAAGTACTAGTTCCAGAAAATCTTCTGTAGATTGGACATTATTCTTGGGATCGTTTGGTACTGCTGAGCGATTTATAACATTTTTCAACTGGAAAAGTGTGCCCTTGTCTGATGAAGACTTTTCTGAATACAACTTACTCCAAATTACCTGTAATAGAAGTAAATAATCTCATAAATGTAATTAGCTAGCACAGTTAGTATTGATGAAGTGTAGCTTCAACTAACTATAGTCAAATTCTTGTAACATGCATGTACATATACTCACTTTTAAAAATGTCATCCTGGCATGCCAGTCCTCTACCACTGGTATTACACCATGTAGTTTATCAGCCTCCGAGTCATGGGTGAATCTAATATCAATTGCTCCTCTGGCACGAGCGACTGTTAACTGGTCACCTCCAAAAAGTATTTGCCACATATTGGTTTCTGTGTACTTCAAAACTTTACCATCAGACATAACAATAGATCTGTCTTCACTAATTGCAGGAACATATTTATGAATGCTTTCTAATATCTGGCACATTTCATTAGTCTTATTTTCATCTTTTAATTCAACGCCCAAAGGAACCTGAAACGGGAATGAAATTCATATGTCTATATATCTTTGTTATAACTAACAATTGTTGACTTAAGTTTCATTTCTGAAGAGTACTTATGCTGGATGTGCCATGTAACGCCTTGAGCTTTATCTTTAAAAGGCTTGAAGTTTCTAACTAGGATTCTGTAAAATAATTGAAGCACTAATGTTAATGAATGTTAGGTGTCTTTTTTACCTGGTTACTAATATAGAAAATTTCTTCCTCATTTCCTCATGATCCAGATCAGTTGGCAGTAGCTTTGATGCATCAATGACTTCATCTCTTGGTATGTCGGACAGCTCACTAAGATCAACTCTGTCTTTGACAGCATACATATGGAAATAATGTCGTGATACTGTTTGGTAATCAATTCTTTGGTATGTTCGCCGAAAATTCTTATCGAAGTTGTCTCCAACTATCTTAAACCCACACCACATAGTGTCTACATATTAATGAAGAAAGTGTTAAAATACAATATGGCTTGTAAACCTTCATCAACTTCTTCATCTTGCTCAGAATTTACTACTATTGAACTATTATTGGCACTACTCGTACCTAATTCATATATATATATATTTATGAACAATGATGACAACAATAAAATATTACTTGAAGACTCATCTTGACATTCCAAAGCTGCTTCGACTTCATGTAGCACCTCAACAGCAGCGGTCATATCTTGTGAAACATCTACATAGTAGAAATTATTGTCAAATAGTGAAGCAATGGCAATATTCTACCTGCACTTGTCATTTCCTCTTGTACACCATCACAGTCATCCTCCTCGTTCATTATATTATCATCAATTTCATCAAACATACATTCTTCATATTCAACCTCATTATCTTCTCCATCTTCAAATGCTCCCAATCCATCTGTGAAGCCGCATGGCTGGTTTGCCTGAATTATCCTTTCTCGTTTCTGTATAACTTAATCATTTACTTAGTTCATGAAAATTTGTTTCACGTACCTTTAAGTTATTTAGTAGCTCATCACACCAAAATTGTACCGGCAAATCATATTCAGATGACAACCGGTTAATAAGTTTGATGGTACCACCGTGTGACAATGTGATCATTAATGGTTGTAAGCAATTGTACACCTGTAGGACTAATAAATAAGTAATCCTAAATAAGGCATAAACTTACCTGTTTTGAACAGCCATTACCATACAATAAAACTGAAATTGCTCTTTGCAGTAACCCCATCTTTGGAAACCTCTTCTTTAGCAACATACTAATGATAACGCAAACCAACATGATCCTTCGGCTATCGTCTTTACCAGGTATTAGAGACAAAAACAAAGAAACACAAGTAGGCATGTGATGTGACAGTTCACCAAACAAACAATCCCATTTAAAGTACTGGATACCATCATTTGAGTCACGGAGTAAGGAATCATTAGTATCTGAAGAAATGGATTTCATTTCCTTTTTAATGGTGTTACAAATATCACGAAGTATGAATCGAGAAATTGTGCTACAAGATGTGACTGATGAAGAAAAACTCCTGAAATGCTTCCTTGCCAAACTTTCAATGCTCTTTCGTCTCGAGGGAGTCGTGATATTATAATTCTGTTTACCAGAAGGCAAAGTAATCTTGACCTAAATGCAAAAAAATATGTTGGATTAAACTTTTCGGATAATAGTTAGGCCTATGCACTAGCATAAAAGCACAGCGTAACTTACAGAAACAACATTGGTATCAGCTTTCTCCTGAGGCTGAATGGCAACTCCATTTGTCTCTTCTAAACCACTTGATGAAATTTCCTCATTATTCTTCTGTCTCTTCCTTGATGGAGTGCCAACTGACACACTTGATCCAGGCAAACTCCGCTTACTAGGACCTGGCTGAGCTTTCTCCAGCACAACACCAATAGCTGATGCAAGATCCTTCTCAACACACTGGATTTTCTCAGCAAGAGCTGCTAATCCCTCTGCTTTAGCTCTACATTTGTGACAGAATAAGGCCTTACTGGTAGTTGCCTTTGAGAAAGATAGCCCAAAATAACGCAATGATAGAGAGTCTAATACATCCCTTGACTTCTTAGCAGCATCTCCATCTAGTCTGATCCTCTTTGATTTCATACTACGGCTGTAAACTTCTGTAAAACAAAGACAGCATTTCTCTCCTTCCACTTCAGCCATTTTAAATACACGTGACACACGCCTCTCGTACACGCCTCAATCTAATTAAATTAAAAATTCAACGATTTTCCATTATTCCTTTCTGGCTTCTCAATTATCACTTTACGTGCACGTACTACTTATGGAAGGTCAGTCAACCAGACCCAACCCGGAGGCACGGAGGGCGGGGTCTGGCTACGCGAGACCATAGATACAGTATACAACAGGGATTGGAAACGGCCCGGTATCACGTGATCTTTTCCTTAACATTTCAATGAGACAACAAAAATTGTCAAAAAAACCTAGGCGTGTTACGGGTTAAAAATAGATATCCAGGGATATTCTTCAGAAAAGTCTCGAGAAAGTCATCTGTCTAATGACTTTTTAAGATTTGAGTAGTCCCCGTTCTAGGAAAACTTTGGCTGCATAAAGCTCTCTTTCGAAGGTATTCTATAAACTGGTACTCTTTGCAATATATCCATTCTCGTATGATTTGAGATCTTTTCTCCCTCTAGCTTCTACAATGATGACACAACAGCTGTTATGATGAGATGTCTAGATTGATGTGACTATTATCCAATGTACTGAGTGTTTTTTAATCTTAATTTTCTCTTAAGCCGTGTTTTATTGAGGACATCAAGAATAGTTGGACCTACGGTGGAATTTCTCCCTCTGGCAACTTCACTATGACTAATAACGAAAATCTGTGACATTAGTATTGTTCCCTAGGAATCTCTCTAATGTAACGAGCTACA